ATGTGGCTTAATGTAGCATCAGGCAGCACTGTTTTATATCTTTATTGTGCAGTGTAATTAAGATTATATTATACCTGTAATGTATAATGTAATGCTCTTTATTTATAGCTTTATTCACCTTTTAAATGACACTGCTGTATATATGTTTTGTCCTGTGCAATTGTATTTATTTACACTGTGCCTCCTTTTGTTCCATGTCACATCTGTGTATAAAAAGATGTATTGTACATATTTATAACTCTTATTCTGAAGTCTATCTTGTCTTATCTCATCTGATATCTCTCTGTATACCTGTATATAACTGAAGCTGATGTTTCCTCCTCATTAACTCTGCACATATAACTCATTTTGTCCCGTCAGGAGTCGGATGAGTCAGACTCTCTCCAGAGCCAAGTGATGGAGACGCATCCGAGTCCCGTGGCCGAGCTGGAGGAGGAAACTGCTGAGGAGGCGGATGTTACGGTACTCTATAATTCACCCTACAGAAAACCCAAACAAACACACACCTCTGGCTGCCAGATGTTCAGCTGTATAGGCCCAGTAAGCTGTCTACAGTTGTGCCTGGGCGTGGCACCACTCCTGTTCATTCAGCCATGTGGAGAGAGGAATAACGTCAGGAAGGGTTGTCAGGCAGGAGTGTCTTTATCTGCTTGTGGAGGAATAAAGCTGATTATATATTAAGCCCGTGAGTCAGTTATTTAAAACAGGAGAGCTGAACCGTTTACTGGAGGCTTTAGGTTGTGTTAAAGTCAGTATTTGTGTGTTTATATGTTTGTTTTCTATCATTATCACATCAAGACAACATGATAAACCTTTATCATGAGAATAAAGATCTCAGCATTGTTTGAACAGTAATAGAGATACATTTATTTGAAAGAATAAGTATGAAACATATATAAAACTTAAATTAAGAAGTATTAGATATGACCTTACTTTCTGTCCACATACTGATTTTAAGTCGGGGCTCTCAAACTCAAATTGTCTTGGGGCTGCTGCTCGCAATAAGTTAAATTACTACAAGAAAGCGTCATATTCTGAAAGATAACATCACACAGTAACGAAACTGATCATTTTCTATGAGCTTTGTTGTTTTTATTCAAACACCAAATGCAGTTCCGACACCTGCTCTCTTCTTATCAACCGTTTGAAAGCAATAACAAACACCTTTGACCTGTGACGTTATTCTGTACCAAACAAAATACACAGATAGAATTGTGTTTTTATTTTAATTGCATATGAAGGGGAAGTTTNNTTATATTATATTTTAATAACCCTGGAAATTGACCCTGCGCCGAAAGTTTGAGTTTAAATATTTATGTACAGATGTTATATGCAGTGCTGCACTATTTAAAGGGTGAATTTCATAAGCTTTAGTTTAGAACTAGACCGACATATCAACCAATATTATCTTACTGCAGATATCAGTGTTTGAATTAGGCCCCTTTTCACAGCAGAAATCACAATGTTCACGATGTTCTCAGCAGTCATACCAGAGCCAGCCTGAGCAATAACAGGACCCTGAAACCGAAGACGCTCATCCATCCATCATTAATAAAACATGTAAAAAGGTGTGAAACAGAGGAAAGAATCAGGTGGCAGATATTCAGTTACATAGTCAATATAACGTAAATTAAATACTGCTGGGAAAGAAAGTCACATGTCAGCGGTTATTGTTAATGGGAGGAGGACAACAATTACATCTTGTTGTAAAGTTACAGCAGCATCCACAGAAACAGGACCAGCAGACCGGCCGCGCCCCGATGAACCGCCCTCTGTGTCTCTTTTGAAAAATGCCAGGTGGTTGCCGTCTGTGTCAGTGTGTATTTATGAAAAAAACAAAGCATTGTGGATTGCGAAAAGATGCCATTGCCACGGCAACACGTTCATAAACAAATATTGACATCCATGACGACGACAGTCCGCGGTGGTGGCCCGTGCTGAGGTGGATCAGACAGGAGAGCTCATTTGAATAGGTGTGGCTATTCTAGCTACCGCAGTGCTACAGACGCCTCTCAAGGTAATTACAGGTGGAAATATTATCAGGACAAGGAACAAAAGACTGGAGGAGTTTGAAAATGTCTGTTGATGTTTAACTGCTAGTGTTTTCTAAAGGTATTTTGGGTGTTGTGTGCAACTAAAGGTATTTTTATGAAGCTATTCAGAGTCACTGGGTTAAAACTAATGTGCATAATGAGAGAGATGTTATATTAGATACATTTTTATACATGCAAACAAGATGCATGTTTTTTTTCTAATAAAGTTCTGCCTTCCTCAGGAGCTGAAGGATTGTAGTGTCGTGCTGGACCGTTTCTGGGCTGACGACAAGGCTGCAAGAAGAGAGCTTGAAGAGAGAGACGAAATGAACCGCAAAGGTGGGAAACCCGTCTCCCGAATCCCTACTTTCCTCAAACGACCTAACAGTGCGAGCCAGGACCGGGAGCTGCCTCTTCCCAGAAAAGATACCCCCGTCCACGTAGCTCAGCCTCCCAAGAAAGCTGGAAGTGGAAGCGTCGAGGCCTCGAAGTCAAAGCCGAGCGACGGCAGAGAAACCGCACTCCCCCTGCTGTCGGTACGCACCCCCAAGATCGGCTTTGAAGCCCCTTCTCCGTTCATCAGCACGGAGCACGCCACTGCAGCGGCCCATAGTTCTCTAATCACTACACCAAAGAGCTGGAGTCTGTCTGAGTCTGTGCAGTGCCCTCTTATGACTGTAAGCCCCAGGCCCGCACTCAGACCAGAGCGAGGGTCAGAGCAACAGTTACCAGACAAAAGCAAAACCTTTGAACTAGTAGCTGACACCCTCCCGGACGCCCCCATATCTCTACTTCCACATGAGGGCCCCATCAGCCAAAAGCCACCGAAAGACACAGAGGAGAAGCACGATGCTGCGGTTAAAAGCAGGGTTACCCTCTCTCCCTCCGGAGATACCAGAAAGTCGGAGACTGCGGAGATCCTTCAGGCACCCGGGCTGAGCAAAGAGGAGGCTATCATGGACGAAGAGCCGCCGTGGGAGACGGAACCGCTGAACACACTTGAATTAAAGGACAGCAGATCTTCGTCAGACGTTGAATGTGAGGATGACTCGGCAGGCGAAAAGTCTGAGGGCCGTGAGTCAGGAGAGGTGAAGGAGCTTCATGCATTACCACTTACGAGCGAGTTGGAGCCTTCAGATCCCGCGATGGAAAGAGCCGGTGTTGATGAATCGACCTCTCCTGTGGCACCCGAGAAGGCTGCGAAAGCTCGATCAGCCAAGGTGAGTTATGTTGTTGTGTTTGCCTCGTAGATTCCACAGATATCAGTCATACTGTTCTCGGTGGCCTCAACAGAGTCACGCATATAAATTGGGAGTTTGGCCACACCCTGTATGCAGTAACAGCTTTGGTATGAAGCACAGTCCTCAGCTGTTTCCCACTCTCCTGTCAAACTTTACACATTTGTTCACAAGTTAAAACTGTGCTTTTGTTTTGTAGAGCTCTGGGTGCTCCAGTTTCTCCCTCTTCTACATCCTGCCCACCACCCTGCTGTTCCTAGGGGGGTTTGGCCAGCATGTTTGGCACTATGGCTTTCCCATGTCTGTGGCTCAGCTCACAGCTCAGCTGGAACTGAACATGCTGGAGGGCTTCGGCTTAGTGCCAGAGCCCTGCAGCACTGACTGTAGGTAAGAAAATGATCCACATGTTGTTCTTTTGAGCTGTTTGCTGTATAAGTCGAATTTGTGAAACTTGCCTTATCAGAGCTCAGAGGTTGAACAGCTGTTGTATTTAAAATGATGACTGGATTCTAGCTTTCCTCTCCCTTACTCAGAGTGCGTCTGGTGGAGAGCATCCCTGTAGGCCTCTACCCGTCTACTCCCTCGCCCAGACAGAGCATCGCAGACAGCTGGCTACATCTGCTGGACAAGGCCGACAGCTCGGTCAACATCGCCGCTTTCTACTTCACACTACGAGGCAACGACTCCGCTGAGTCCACTGACTCTCAGGTTAGTTCAGTGTAGTGCCCTGGTCTCGTGACGCAGCGTATCAAGCATTTATAACTGAATATATTGACCCGAACTCAGATCGGCTTGTGGTCACTGCTGGTATTGTTATCTCATAAGAGGCCCACTTCAGAAAGAGCAACGCAAACAGCAGTTTCTGTACATTTCTATATCTTCTTTGTTGTGCTCCTTTCTTATCATTTCTGAATGTAGAGTTTTTATTTTAATTGTGTATGAAGGGGTAGTTTAAATATATATAGAAAACTAATAGAAAAGGCTGGATTATATTATATTTTATATATAGATGGAGATCCCTGCTCTCATGTGTTATTATACATTTCCACATGTTCTGCAGGGAAGAGCGGTCTTTGAGCAGCTTAAACAACTTGAATCCAAAGGTGTGAAACTCCAGATTGCCGTCAACGCCCCCCAGACCTCAACTCTAGACACAGCAGAATTAGCAGCAACAGGTACACCATCATTACCTGATAACATGGAGCACATTGTGTCATCTCTCTATTGTGTGCAGCACAAATTAAAGCTGAACTGAGAGGCACTGGTGTAATCACTGCAACCAGTCACATATTAGATGGGGAACTTGAACTTACATATTTCCCTGGTGACAACAGCTCCTATACACACACACACACACACACACATACATACACAGAGTGGACAGCAGACCCTGAACTGGGTGAAGTGAAGAGAAGTAAAACATAGAAAAAGCAGAAGGCGATATCTACAACAGCTTTGTTACAGCGAATTGCTAGAAGATATTGTTTCTCTCGCCACAAAAGCACTTCATCCCAGCTCTCCCCAGCAACCTGCCAGGGTTATATGGGTTAAACGCTATATGGACACAAGCCCTGAGTCTCTAATTGAGGCTGCAGACAGGAAATAGCATCCCATCACCACTGAGAGCCAACAAATTCACCCTGTTGATCCAAACGTGAGATTTAGATACATTTCTGCCCTCAGGAATTTAAAATTAAGAGCAAAAGAGAAAATGTGTCTGGGAATTCTCTATCCATAAAAAACGTTGGATGTTTGTACCTTCTCTTAACTAATTTAACTCATCAGTTGTTGTTTTTTTTAAACCAAGATACAAAACGGGAAACATTGTGGGGGTTATAACCCTGCAGTGATTTCTCATCGTGTGCTTTTTGTTTTTGTTGTTCAGGTGCAGAAGTCAGAGAGGTGGACCTCAAGGCTGTCACTGGAGGCATTGTCCACACCAAGCTGTGGGTGGTGGATCAAAAGCACTTGTACTTGGGTAGTGCCAACATGGACTGGCGCTCTCTAAGTCAGGTAACACGGAGAAAAATGTGCATTTTCAAGTGTATCTGCGTCAGCGGGGGCACGGGATAAGACATTACGTCACTACGTTTACCCCGAGCGATCATTTGCATCAGGAGGAAGAGGTTCATTACAGTTCACTCAAAGATTAAATTACTGTAGATTTGTAGATCTGATGTCCCAGACAGTTAATAGCATGGGCCTGACTCTGAGGTAAAAGCTCTTTCACTGCAGATAAAACATACTCTCCAGTCTCAGATTCAACTGAGCAGAAAGGCACTTTTATTTGGAGCACCTTAACTTAGTGTTTTATTACACAAGTGAAATGAAGTGCGCTACAATGAGACAGCAGTTTGTAGATTCAGACTGTGCGCTGTTGAACGTAACAGACTTGTGTAATAAACTAAAACAGCTGTGGTATCAATGCCTGCCTGATATTCATGTGTTCATTAGAAGCAAGTAATATTTATAAGCAACTTAAAGCTTATTATTAGTGGTTAGTATTAAGTGAAGGCCATTTTAGTTCCAAAAGGTGGATAAATAGACATTTTCCTGATCTATATATTGACTGAAATAATCTTGCTGCTTAGAGTTCAGAGGTTGTAATCAGGAAATCCAATTCATGACTCATTAAATCTGCTTCCTGGAGCAGGCCGATGACCCCCCACTGCTTGCATACAGTCTCAGTGGTAGTTGTGTCTGTAACCGGATTCATTCCTCCTGTGTGCTTTGTTGAATCAAGGTGAAGGAGGTCGGCCTGTCGGTGGAGGACTGCAGCTGTCTGGCCCAGGATGCGTTTCGGATCTTTGGGGTGTACTGGAGCCTCGGCGGCGCGAGCAACGGCTCCCTGCCACCGTACTGGCCGGCTCGTCTCACTGCCCTGTCCAGCTCCCAGAATCCCCTGCACCTGAAGTTCAACGGTGTGCCTGCTCAAGTCTATCTGTCTGTAAGTTTCCTTCGAGAGGAATCCTTTAAAAATCTGCTTTTTTTTTTTAAAAAAAATTTAGGGGCTTTTGGTTGTTTTAAAACATGAATTTATTTTAAGGGCTAATACAGGACTATTTCTTCTTTTGGAATACAAAATCGAGATCAGTAACTGACATTGTGCAGATTTAAGTGGAATTATATTATTAGTGTTGAAGCTTTTCATCCAAATCAGTAAAAGCACAGTGTAAATCCTAATTAATGGGTATGTATTTCCTTCCCATCCTTATAAAGTTTATTGATATAACGGTATTTCTGACGTTCTGGATAAGACGAGGGGTGTGTCCAGCTTTGCATCCAGCTGTGTTTAGAGTCTTCTTCCTCTCTCTGGTTGCTCCCATGGTTTCTTACCTCCTGTCTTACATCCGTTTCCTGCAGAGTGCCCCTCCGCAGATCTCCGCTCGCGGCCGCTCAGATGATCTCTCCACCATCCTGTCCGTCATCGACGACGCCCAGAAATTCATCTACATCTCTGTCATGGACTATCTTCCTCTGTCTGAGTACACAGAGCCACTCAGGTGACGAGCAATGTTTACAGGTTACAATAGTAAATCAAGTTAAATGATTAGATACGGGGATTACAGTAACAAGCAATTTGATACAGACTAGTTCCTGGACCCTGATCAAGCTGTGTGTTTGTCTCTCAGGTTCTGGCCCGCCATCGACTCGGCGCTGCGTGCTGCAGCCTGCACCAGAGACGTACAGGTGAGACTCCTGGTGAGCTGCTGGAAACACTCACCTGGCGCCATGTTCACCTTCCTGCAGTCCCTGCTGGTGCTCAACAAGCCTCCACTGAAGTGTGACATCGACGTGGTACGTTGCACGGTGACTGAGACGCAGTGTCCCCTAACAGGATGGAGATCAGTCCTAAACTCCTGCCGTTTTTTGTTTCTGTGCAGAAAATCTTCACAGTGCCTTCAACAGCAGAGCAGATGAAGATTCCCTTTGCACGAGTCAATCATGCCAAGTACATGGTCACAGACAGAGTGGTCTATATAGGTACGCTGTTAGCACTTATTACTTCAAACTGAACAGTATCAACTGGGACAGGCTCAGGTGCTGTACTTTATATTTCTGCTACATTTCAGAGGGAAATATTGTACTTTTTACTCTTACAAATACAATTACTGGTATTCTTGCATATTATTTTGAATTTATCATTAGCTATGAAATGTGACGCTTTGTTCAGAGAAGAAATACATGTCCCTCTTATCAAGACATTTAAGTCTGGAACTGAGTCATAAAAACAGAAGTAATATAAAACAATTCCACCAGGAGCAGATCAGCTTGTCTCCCTTTTAAACAAGTTGGCTGAAATCACTTTAAATATGAAATTAAACATATTTAAATATTCTTTATGCACCGCAAAATATAAGCTTTTTTAGGCCTTTAGGTTATAGACAGGAATGTCTTATAAAATAAAAGTTTTTGCAGATTTAACTGCACAACAAAGTTTGGTGTTGCTAATTTATAACCCTGTAATTTTATTGACCCTTAAAACAATTCCAAACACTCAAACAGTAAATAATCTTTTACCGCACAATGTGGGAAAGATCAATACACGCAGCCAACATGATTACCGTCTAGCTTTTTAGTATTTACTAGATATTTTCTTAAATGGAACCAATGTGGTGGTGAGAAAAGAAAGATGTTCGTCTTATTAGTTCCTCCAACTGTCATTGAATCTAACTGACTGCTTCTGCGTGCACAGGGACGTCCAACTGGTCGGAGAACTACTTCACCCAGACAGCCGGCGTGGGCTTGGTAGTCAACCAGACCGGCTCTGAGGTTAAAAAAGGCCAAGAGACTCTGCAGAGTCAAGCAGAGGAGCTCTTCCTCAGAGACTGGACGTCCCAGTATGCCAGCACGCTCTCTGTTGGCGCCGCGGACGCCTGCCCTCGTGGTCCACACTGAGGGTTCGCTGTTCAATAAAGCACCTTGCATTGTAGATGAGCATCACGCTTGTTCCTGCCACTTGAATTTTATTTTTTACTTGTGAAGAATCCGCTTGCTGTACTGTGTGAATGAACACTGTTTATTTTGTTGCTGTAACCTGATTCGCTGCCTGATTCTTTTTTTGTACATAATTGCGTTTTTTATATTTCGTTTCAAAAACAGGTTATTTTTATACTCTGTGTATTGTTCCGACAATTGTCTTACATGAGTTAAGACGCAAGGGAATCCGCTTTGTACAATTAATTTTATGCCTGGAGCATTTTTTTTTTATACTTTTGCCAAAGAGGTGCGAGAGGTGGTCAGATGTGTGTGTTGTATATTTCTCTTCTCTGGCTCCTGTTGCTGTATTGATAATTACGGAATATCCATATCCTTCATCATTTTCTGACCAGGGTTATCTATTGTATGCTTGAGGTCTTGTTTCTGTTATCAGTACACATGCTGCATCAGTTCGTACTATTCAACTTCCTGACTCTGGATGAAACAGGAGCAGTTTACTGTATAAATAAAACCTGGTTGGTGATCTCTGAAAGCTTCTTGAGTTAAACATTGCTCCACTAATGCAGTCATAGTGGTTTTAAGTGTTGAGTTGACCAGAGTCACCAAACCTTTTCATACTTACCTCTCCATGCAGTTCCTTTTGGTTCAAGACTTAAGGATTTAATTTGTGGTGCTCCAAACATCAACAACTCTACATGCTGTACATGCTATCAGCTCTGTGTACTTGGACATAGTGGTGCTTTGAACTAACATGATAACAGTAAAAGCGAATGTGAAGCAGGTATAATGTTCACCATCTTAGTTTAGCATGTTAGCATGCGACATTTATTAATTAGCACTAAAGTACAGCTGATGGGAATGTCAGTAGTTTTGTATCTGCTCATAAACCAAAGTACTGGACACAGCTGAAGATCCCCTCCAGATGTTTTAAGACAAATAAAAAGGCTCTGCTTGGAATAATAATGTGTCTGAAATGTTTGTTTTCTTCCACAAAGAAGTTCAAGAACTTCCTAAAATGACATCCACTCCGTCCTCATTGGAACATTTTACAATCCATGAATTATTTTTAATTTCTAAAGTTTGACAGATGGACAAAAGACATTTAAGGTGAGCACAGAGAAACTTTCCCATTTCAGCAAATTAATAGTGTCAAACTGCACATAACATCTCAGTGAAGTAAATTCTGACCAGTTGGTGGCGCTAGATGAAATGATAAGCAAATGAAGCATCATCATTATTAAATTAACTCAGGTCTTATAATCAAAACATTTCCAGTTGCTTTCAGTTAATGTGTCTTTATTTTTCACATTTCAGAATTTAAATTTTACTACCCAGAAAACATTCAAAAACAAGTAAAAATACAAATATAACTAGAACCTATGTTAAATTTAAGGGACATTTGTTATACGTGCAAAAACATTTCTTCATGGTGGACTTTATTTTATATCTCACGCCTTACTAAAAGTATCTCAGGGACATCTGCTGCAGTTACACGTTTATCATTCCTCAAGGCGGAGGAAGACTCACTGCTCGATGCCACATTCCCCCTTTTGCCCTTGGCTTCTCCCTCCATCCGGCGACACCTACTCCAAGCATAACAGACGAAGAAGAGACAACAGAAGGTGAATGAAGAGGCTCCTCATCGGAGGAGCCAAACAGAAACAACCAGGATAGGAGTTAGCAGGCCTCTGAACGATCTCTGATCACGACAGCCATCCGAGTCCTTTCCTATCCGTGTGTGCAGAGTGCTTGAGGACGCAGGAGTGTTTGCTCTGACAGAAAGGTTCGAGTTCCCCTCCGGCTCTCATTCCATGGACAGCTGCACACTGTCCGTCTGGCCCTGCTGCTGCTCAAACTTTCTGGCTAAAATACAAGAAGAACAAAAGACAGTTTACCTCAAGATTAGCCAAAAAGTCGACAGGCAAGACACACAGGCGCCTAGTTAGACTGATTGTGATCTAGGTCATCAAAATAAAACATAAGAAGTGTCAGTAGGGATGACAGACCCATCGGTATCATACGCCTTAAAGCTCATCGATTCCTTTAAATGATGCCAGCATGTTTTTCTGACAGCTGCAACTGTACAACAATGACGTCGAACTCAAACTCTACGCTGCTGGAAACTTGGAGCAAGAAGCAGTAATGGCAGCATGAAAGAAACAGTCCAAAGAGTGGCTTAATTTCATGTAGAAGCTCAAAATACTATAACTGTATTTTTCTTTCTACACTGTTTGAAGACGCAGAGATAATAAAACTGTTTCATTAATGCTCAGAACCTGATAACCTGCCTGATAACTACTTATTATAACTCTTTTCTCTACAGTAAGAACGGATGAAAGATACATTATGGACTATAAGCCTTAATATGGATGTGTGAAACTAGACTTTATGTTGTGGTAAAGTAAAAAATGTCTCCAAATTTGGAAAACTATACCCAACATATACACATATATACCTTATTATCAACCATTCTGTGGCCCCTACTGACCCCAAGTTGATCAAATTGGAAATCTGCCCCATTTTCTCCCCAGTAAAACCAGTCCAGAGCTCCACTGATGCTCACCCAGAGAGTACATCTCCAGCTGCTGTCTCAGGCGGACCTTCTGCAGGCTGTCGTAGAAGTTGGGCTCCGGGCTGCTGCCGGCGGCGGGAGGCAGAGTGAAGATGCGCATGATCTTCCTCTTGTTTCTAAATTAAAAGTGGACAAAGAGAGATAGAGAGAGAGAGAGATGTTAGAGAGAGACAGTGCAATGTAAAAACATTCAATAATATAAGGAACATTTATTTTAACAATTTAAACTCATTTAGATAGTTTAAATCTCTAAATCACCACCCAGAATTAAAATAATCATAGGAGAAGGAGACAGGGCTACTAAGGGTACTTTTAATTTAATTTATTCTTTATTATAAGTATTTTTCTTCTTACTAATGTCTATATTAATATATATACATTTGCTTTGGCCAATAAAGCCCCTTTGAACTGAACTGAATTGAGAATGGCTCTATAAAGAATACCATCATTTATTTCAGAATCAGAATCAGAAATACTTTAATAATCCCAGGGGGAATTATTTTTGTTCCAAACTCCAGTTATACAAGCAACATATATTAAGAACATATAAATATATATATAAAAGATCAAATGTACAGTTTAATAATGTGCAAAAAATGATTGTCCCAATTTCTGACAGTAGATTACACTAATAATTAAATTAAAACAATCATTTCAAATTGCATTACGTTTGGAGTATTATATATATATACGCCGAATTGTGCAGAAGACCCTAAAAATAGTTTTATTCATGAAATAATTCCACAAAAAGTGAGTACATAACAATTCAACCAAGAAAATACTAAAATGTGAATTTCTTTAATGGAGTACGGCGTAATTTTTTTTTTACATTTTTTTAGAGAGGACAGGAGAAGGAGAACTGTAACTGAACCAAACGCCTAAAGCACATCTATGATAAGCTTTGTGACAGAGTGAAGGGTTTAAAGTGTCAGTCTTACTTTCTGGCGTACATCAGCAGGCCGAAGCTGACCAGGATCACCAGCAGATACACATTAGTGGCCTCATTCCAGGCTTCGTGCACCGAGTAGTCGATGGACTCGGGCTCGTTCCCCAAAACCCCGTGAGCACCCATTGAAATACGACGACTGCTCCCCAAACTGTGCAGGGAAATGTGTGATTTTAAAAAAGAAATGCCACTAACTCTGCTTTCTTCGCTCCTGTTTATTAGCGACTGACTGAACAATGTAAACACTGCGACACAACTTCCGTCTTCTACTACTACTACGGTTTCCGGGGAGCTCTCACACTCTGTTGCCCCCTACAGGCAAACATTTAAACTCATGAAACATTCATAAAGAGTCTGTTTAAAGCGATATTATGTGACTTTTAAACTTTAAAAAACATATATAAAAGTTCCAGTTGATCAGGACGACAAATATATTAGTAATATTATAATAATATTACTAATATATGAGGCTATTTGCAGGATGTTTCTCACATTTTAGGTAAGAAGCCTGGGATCTGCGATAGTGAGGTAAATTCTTATACCTAATAATGATTTATTTATTTTATTTAATAACACCTCTACATGCAGCTATGGATATTTTCCATTTCACATAATCTGCATGTCTGTAAAAACTGGAATTTCTCCTACGGGGATCAATAAAGGAACATCTTATCTTATTTTAAATGATGTGAAGAAACCAGAGAAAACCCACACAGTCACAGGGGAAACTTTGACTAAAGGCTCCAGCCAGACAGATTTAAACTTAAGCCCTCCCTGCTATGAGATAACAGCACTGAATCACAGAGACACAGAAACACCTAGACAAAAGAAATATGAACTGAAATCTGTGTTATAACTTGCATTTATTTTCATCAGTATGAATATATAGAACAATCCCATGTATTATAAATGCACTTATATGGTTATAGCAAATTTAACTGAGGAGACGACCAGCATGTCTACACACAATTATCTAGAGTTACCAAGATGAAATTGAGCTTGGCAAATAACTCATAGGAATGCATGTTTGCAGAATGTATATGTGATAAAATCATCTTTCAAATTTCTCTTTCTTGAGACAATCCTGGAAAAAACTGTGAAAAAGTCCAGGATCCACTGGTCAGATCTTTGGGTACAGCCATGTGCACAACTATAAGTCGTCAAATAGAGATTTTTTTAAACCCTACACAAAGTGTGTATTACATTAATGTACAAAATAATGAAAAGAAAAGACAAAAAATCAACTCTATGTTCAAATTGCCAGCAACCACGGAGCTACTATCAGATCAAAACAAAAGTCATTATTTGTGTCTAATTTATATTAAATTAATATGTAACCTGTCAGATTGTACTGTACATTGTACACAACTGGCAGAAAAATCAATATACTGAATTTGTGGTGCAGAATAATTAATCAAGTTGTAACAGAAAATGTCCACTTTTTAGGTTGTTAGCTTTGTAAAACATCATGAAACAGCAATCCAGTTTTTACTCTTACAATAAATATTCAGCATTTCTTCAAGGAGTACTATCACAAATACAATTATTATTGACAATCCAATCAAAGTTAAAAACAAGATGTAATCACACAAAATAGTAAGTCATGATAATCACTTCAGAGGAAGATTTAGAGTACTATAACTATGGAGGAAATAGTAAATAGTACAAAATTTAAAAAAAAAGATTTAAGCCTGTTATGATGAACTGATATGGCATATAAAGGCATCATGTTTTGAAAAGTTATATTAAATAATCACACATGAAGATTAATTATACTTTTCTTTGGATATTCCCCATTAAATCTTACAAAACACATGTATTCATGTCACCTTAGCGACCCAGAAGCAACACGACTTTACATGCATTCCCATTCCAACTCTCTCTCATCCTCAAGGAAGGGGATGATGTGAATGAGGCCTTTGATCTCATCCAAACTGCCCTGCAACTCGTCTGCAGTCTGCCTGACGGAATGGACAAATTTCATGATCTCAGAGCATGTTTGACCATCTGCTGTTGTCTGTCTAATGTGGTGAATCTCTTTAGCATCCATGGCAATAAAGAAGATATCTGCTGCCACAAATAAAGCAGAAAGTGCACCAGTGGCTACCTCTGCCAGTCGTACTGTCCTGGATGCTTGTGCTGCGATTTTGCCAATGTTTACCACTCGAAGTACTCGAAACAGTTCGCTAACACCTCCTAAGCCCCTACCTATCCTTGTGCCAACCTTTGCAAAGTTTTCTTGATTTAAACTGCTGTCCTCATCAGTAGGCACATCCCCTGAGCAACCTCTGTTGATTGTCTCTAAACTCTTGCTGATCTCCTGCAGCCAGAGGGCCACTGCATTCATTTTCTCATCAAACTCTTTGATGATGCTTTGAACAGCTTTGCGATCAGAGGCCTGGTTGACCATGTTTGTGATATTTGAGGCACCGGCAGTGACCCCACCAGCAACACCCACCCCGATTCCCACACCAGTGACAATAAGTGAAGTTCCCAAAGTGAAGGGAGCCAGAACAAGACCCACGATGGAGGTAATCCCTCCCGCTGCTCCGATCACTCCTCCTGCCAGACTGCCGATGGTGGCGCCCTGGTGCACATTTTCCAAACTGTCGGCCACAGCTCTCAGCTTGCCCAACTGAGTCTGAAGGTGCTCTGCAGTTGTTTTACTCTATGCAAAAGACATAATCAGTGTCAGAGATACAGAAACATACAACTACTATCCAGGGCTGGGAGGGTTACTTAAATGTAATCTGATACACCTGTTACCTGTTGAAAAGTCTCACAATAATAAAGTAAGGTAACTTGATTACTTTCTGGTACTCTTGGAATACCTCGTTTTTCAAATATACAACTAAAGACAAGAAGAAAGAGAGAAATACAAATAAGATTACGTGTATTTGTGTATAAAACAACAAACATTTTAACCTAACTATAAATGCGTCCTCTGCTCAGTGTTATTATAAAGACGTTTGTATTTTAAATTGTAATCCCGTTAATAATCCCTATTTTTACTAAATGGAACTATAATCTGATTATGTCTTTTTTTACTGTCACTATTATGGATTACAGTTTCTTTTTTTTGTCTGCTAAGATACGAAGCTACGTGCCTATTCCGCAGGATTTTGTAATAGTTGGGGAAGAAGGTTGGGATCTGTGATAGTGAGGAAAATTACTGCTATGTCAAACCTTTTTTAGGAGACATTGTAAAACAATGGGACGCCCCAAAATCTCATAGGTTGTAGGTCTTGAGTTAGGGTCTCTCTGCAAAATGTCACTAAACAGTTCCTGAAACTCAGATGACCACTTGTCTTGGAGACGAGGGACAGGACCAGAAATAATTCTGGGGTTGAGGTCGACTGTGGTCTCTGCAGAGAACTGAAGAAGAATTATTGTTAGAAAACACTTGGTATATTTATAATCATCAGTCAGTAATCATTCAGTCCCACTGTACAGCCTCACAGAGCAGCAAGTGTGGCTGTAGACTTTTCTGTAATTTGTAATCTGATTTCTATTATAAATAATTTTTTTTAAATTACATTCATTTTTTATGACATGATCATCTCTGGGAAACTTACCGCTAATTTCTGAGTAAAGAGCTCATAGAGTATGCATCCCACCGACCAAATGTCACTACAAAATGAAGAAAGTATTATTATTATTAGTACTAGTACAGAAGAAATAAATGCACAACTAAGGTGCAACTCTGTATCACTTCCTTATTATGGCTTATAGTTTAGTTTACAATTAAACTGCCAACAGACAAATAGCAACTTTAACATTCATCTAAAAATGTTTATCTGGCCAGAAGAATAAATAATTGTTGTTTTGAACAGAGATGATTAATGTTTTTCTGCTATACTGCACATGAAGTAGAAAAACAAATGTGAAGACAAGGGACACTTTGAATAAACATAACAAACATTGGACTGGACGATTCTGTAAATTTTTTTATTCTGGTATGAAGCTTTTTACCTTTTAGTGTCATACGTTGCACTTGTGAAGACCTCTGGTGCCAGATAATTAATTGCTTCCCCTCCTGAACTCACATTGCTGTGTAAACAACAAACACAACATTTATATATGCATACAGTATATTGTACAGTATAGATACACTTTATATGTTTGTAATTAATAGGAGTTATACAGTACTTTCCCTCGAGTTTTCCAAATCCACCCAAGCGCAGAGTTCCCAATTCTGTGAAGAATATGTTCTAAAAAAAAAAAGAAAAACTCAAACTGTAACTTTGTCAGTAAACTAACTAGTGATGTTTCTGGTAAGTTCATTCATTCATATGGGGGTTATTACATTTCAGGGGTCACAGTTACCTGCTGTTTGATTTACACTGGGAAGAAAAGAGGTGTTTAAGTGTATGTATAAGTTCAACATGGTCAGAGATAAATGTAATTAGTTGTGTTTCGATTTATTTATATTACTATTAACGTTACAATTTATTCATTTAGAGGCTACATATTTTGTATGTTTTTGATGTACACACTGATTTGCTGTACCTGTGGCGTCAGATTTTTGTGAAACAAGCCGTTTTCATGAATGGTTCGCAGTGCCATACAGATTTCAACAATCCAGCTCAGTATCTAGAAAACATAAACATATATCAGAATCAGAATTATGTTACTAAAATCTTTTAATGATGCACTTAAGTGACGAAAGTGTAGAGATGGAATATCTTTTGCATGAATACCTGAGACTCATCAAGTATTGTCCCTTTGGTCTTTTCTGCAAGGCTCCCACCATGACAGTGCTCCGCCACTAGGTAGTATACGTCATGATCTTCATCTTAATGACAAAAGGGAAAAGAGTCACTGGTAGCATTTTCAAAGGAGTCATCTCTCACTATTGATAGCTGTATCACAAAAACTGTTTTATATTTTTCAAAAGTCCGTTCAGTTTAAGGAGATTATCTTTCGTCAATGTAGCAAATGGACTTGTGTTGTTTGTTGACTGGCTCCAAAGACCTCCATTCATTCATCTCAAAACAATCACTAGTTTAATAGTCTACCTTTACTATCATAACTTCATTACATGTACAATAATATTATATTTTGCAACAGTTTCAGAAGACTATTAAATGTGAAGCACATTTTTGACGACTTACCTTTAAAAGAATTCTTGGTGCTCGTAACATGAGGATGAATTATTGCATTGAGAGTTTCCATTTCTGAGATTAATGTTGCATTTGGGGAAATCTGTAAAAAAAAAAAAAATAGCACTGTGTAAGAATGGTCTGGAAGAGGCACCTGCAGCTGTGTGCCTGTATATAGTCAACAAAATACACTGAACATACACCTCCAGATTTACACCACCTTCTACCTCCAATTGTGCTATAAATATACATACACTATATTGACAAAAGTATTCGGCCACCTGACCATAATACCAACAGGTATTGTAATGACATTTTATTTGAATACATATACTTTAATATGGAGTTGGTCGCCCTTTTGCAGCTATAACAGCTTCCACTCTTCTTGGAAGGCTTTCCACAAGATTTTGGAGTGTTTCTGTGGGAATTTGGGCCCATTCATTCTGTAGAGCATTTATGATGATGATGTTGGACGAGAAGGCCTGGCTCGCAATGTCCTTTCCAGTTCATCCCAAAGGTGCTTGATGGGGTTGAGGCGTGGGCTCTGTGCAGGCCAGTCAAGTTCTTCCACACCGAACTCATCAAACCATGTCTTTATGGACCTTGCTTTGTGCGCTGGGGCACAGTCATGTTGGAACAGAAAAGGGCCTTCCCCAAACTGTTGCCACAAAGTTGGAAGCATAACATTGTCCAAAATGTCTTGATATGCTGAAGCATAGCCCTTCACTGGAGATAAGGGGCCTAGCCCAAACCCTGAAAAACAGCCCCATACTATTACCCCCCCTCCACCAAACTTCACCGTTGGCACAGTGCAGTCAGGCAGGTAACATTCTCTCGGCATCCGCCAAACCCAGACTCCACCATCTGACTGCCAAACAGAAAAGCGTTATTCATCACTCCACAGAACAGGTTTCCACTGCTTTTACGCTTCATGCGCCTTCGCAGTCATTGACCCAGCTCTGTGATTTCATGTGGTCTTCCACTTCATGGCTGAGTTGCTGTTGTTCCTAAACGCTTAATACAATATATCACTTACAGTTGACCGTGGAATATCCAGCAGGGATGAAATTTCACGAACAGTCTTATTGCAAAGGTGGCATCCTATCACAGCACCACCTTTGACGTCACTGAGCTCTTCAGAACGACGTATTTTGCATCACAAATGTTTGTAAATGGAGACTGCATGGCTAAGTGCTTGACTTTATACATCTGTGGCAAGGTCTGATTGAAACACCTGAATTCAAGAATTAACAATACTTTTGTCCATATAGTGTTTATGAAAAAATGATGCTCTTAATTGTGAAAATGAATCTTTATTTTGTAATGTCAAACAAGTTAATGCAGGTACTGTATGATGGACAATGATAACAGCCAACGAGATGCACTGTGTGCCTGTGGGTAGTTTACAGAACCGTGGGCACAGTTAGGTGTGTGGGCGCGGATTATGAATCCGAGGGTACAGATTTACAAATGTGTTTTTTTCCACAGCTGAGCCCCGGGGAGCTCTGTACTCCACCACCAACCCCAAGTGCATGCAATTAATGAAAGCTCAGATGAGGAAGAAGCATTATATCAGTTTATAACCCTTTCGTTTCACAGATGTTTATATTAGGGTCATAATAATTTTATTTCAAGCTAAACAAGACATCCTTTGCTATGTTAGATTTATAAATTAAAGTCTCAGTCCCATCGGTGAGTAACATATTGGGTATATAAGAATAGGCTCTATGGTTTGATTTGCTTACATCTCATTGCAGCTTAAAGGAAATCCTGGGCATACTCATTGTTTAGTGTGGAGTTACATTTAAAAAAAATAATGCGCTCAGCACTTACCTTCATCGTTCTTATGAAAAATCTGTCACCGTCCTTTGTGGCTGTAACCCAGTTTTCTGTTTCCTTTTCAATTGTGTAGCCCTCCTTCTGAAGGGTGCTCTGTTCGTTACCCATCTTGGTTGTAATCACCTAATGGCACACAACACAAACCAACACACACAGTTCAGTTCTATTTGTGTCAAATTATAATAGAAGGAGACTTTTCAAATAGAGCAGGTCTGGACTGTACTCCTTATAGACCCCACAATAACCATCCTGAGCAAGCACTTGGCAACAGTGGCAAGGAAACCCTACTTAAGAGGCCAAAATAGTAATCATATAAATTGTCCCGTGTAATTCTTTATTATTTATTTCTACAATATGCCACTACCTCCCTCTGTAACCTGTGCAATATTATAATTTAACTTTGAACCACGCCTGTATGACCATACTGTACATAGCTTGTTTTTTCTTGATATCTTGTATTTTTTCCTTTTTATTTTGTGTTTCTTTTGTTCTCATCTGCTGTGTTACACATCTGTAGCAGCTGTAACAAGTGAATTTCCCCAGTGTGGGATCAATTAAACCCACCCTGTATATATGCATTACATTAATGCACTCCTGTTGGTTTTTCTATCCTGCACATTGTAAATATTTTTCCTAGGCAAAAGCACCAAGTCAGAATTCATCTTGGCTGGATAAAGCACCAACAGTTCTCAGTTCTGTGTGTACTTGTAAAAAGTCCAGGGAACCACAAGGACAAAGTCAAGGTACCCTTATCTTCTCCTCTGTGTGCTACAATAAGAAAGGCCTCCACTGAAACCACAGAGAGCTTTTAATCTGAAATGGGTACAGTTAGTATTTATGCCTATATATATTCTACATAGTCATTGAAACTGTAGTGAAAGGTG